TATTTCATTTTGATATTTAATTTTAGTGGAATTAAACTAGAATTTAAAAAAATTTTTTTTTTTTCGCAGTTTTTGCACAGGGCTGGGTTTGAACCCACCACCTCCAGCATATGGGACCAGTGCCCTACTCCTTTGAGCCAGGGGTGCTGCCCTAAACTAGAATTTTTTTTTTTTTTTTTTTTTTTTTGAGACAGAGCCTCAAGTTATCCCCCTGGGTAGAATGCCATGGCATCACAGCTCACAGCAACCTCCAACTCCTGGGCTCAAGCGAGTCTCCTGCCTCAGCCTCCCAAGTAGCTGGGACTACAGGCACCCGCCACAATGCCCGGCTATGTTTTGATTGCAGCCGTCATTGTTGTTTGGCAGGTTTGGGCTGGATTCGAACCCACCACCTTAGGTGTATGTGGCTGGCGCCAGCCACTTGAGTCACACGTGCCGAGCCCTAAACTAGAATTTTAAAAGAGGATGTACTTGACTGTGTTCAGATTTAGTAAACTGTTACTTACTTGGCAGCAGTGGTTAATTACATAGTGATTGCTGTGAGCACATAGTTAGGCTTTGTCTTATGCCCTGCAGGGGCAGTAATATTTTGTTGTTGTTGTTCTTTTTCTTCTTACTATTAAAGATCTCGGGTTAGTTGTATCCAGGGCCCAATATTTAACTATCTGGGGCATTTTGCTGCTGCTGTAAGAGTAGTGTGTGTATTTGATTGTGTGCTTAGTGACTCCTCATTAGATGTAGGGTAAAATCCAAAAGTCCTTAATATGGCATTAGGACTGTTCAGTTTTTTGCTCTGTTTCCCCTTGTCATCTCTGCCACCGACACTCCTCAGCAACTTACCTTTGGTGTAATGTGCACTGGCAGATTCAGCAGAGGTGGCATATATTCCATTGATTATTTGAGATGTAACTTGGAAATAACTTGGCTGTACTATTGGTGTTCACTGTTGGAATTTTGTAGCAGAAGCCTATGGAGGGTATGAGGTTGACAGCTCTCTCCCTAGGGAAGTTCAGCATAGCCCAGAAATGGCAGGGGTAATGGCTAAGAGCTTTCCTGGAGTTGTGAAAAATTTAATCACCTCTTTCCTTGCCAAATGATCTTCATTGTAGACCAATGAAGTTTCTTAAAGCTGTAGGAAAATCCCTAGACCTATTTTCTCCAGATTTTCTGGAGGGGTATGTTTGTGTTTGCGTGAGTGTGTGTGTGTGTGAGAGATTCTTGGGCATCGTTCTGAGGTTGTGGATATCCCAGTTTTCCTGATTTGATATGATGCTTTGTATACATGTATCAAAATATCACATAGACTCCACACACGAGTACAGTTATGTATCAATAAAAAATAAAATTGAGATTTCTATCCTGTGTTTATGTTGCCCCCAGAATGATAGTGTGGCCACGCTCTGAGAAGGTGCCTGATGGGCCCTAAGGACTGCTTCAGGTGGAGTCACATCTGGTCATTGGCTCAATACAGTTGTTTATCTTGTTCAATTTGTTTAGCAAGTTTGATTAAGAGATTACTAGTTTTTAAGTATTTATTCCTAATCTTCCATGACTGACAGTTTTCAAATTGCCCTGGAGGTATGGAATTTATGTGTACATTAAGTTTCAAGTACACTGTGTGGGGCTCATTTATTTAATCTGAATCAGTATACGAGTATATTCTTGGGCAACTCTGAATATTCAAATTCAAATGAATATTTGACTCCTGCCTTTTTGCCTTCATTTTGCGTGTTTTGATTGCCCCAAATCTGCCTTCGGAAACAACATTTGGTTTCTAATTGTAATTGTCTTGGAAACACTGGCATATTTTTGCAGTTCCATTTTACTTTTATTTACTGCAAATGATGATTTGTTAGTTGCCTGCTGCCAGAACATCTGAGCTCATTTGTTTAACTAAAACAGTGCTGTGCATAGATGCCTATAACAGGCAGCAACAGTTCCCAGCCACCCCAGTTGCTTACCACCTCATTATAGCTCTAAATCAAGCAAATGGGAAAGGAGATTATTCTTAAAACATTCCAAGAAGTTTAGAAAATTGGAGGACAGAGGGACAGGAGGAAAGGAATTCTATTATAACAATCAATGTGTTGCTTTTGGCAGGGGTGTGCTTGGCTGACTCCTTTGTAGAAATAAGTAAGCTTCGGAGGGCAGAAGTTGCAGGGATACTGCGTCAGAGCTCTGTGACTCCTTTGGTTAATAGATAATCAGTGAGGGTTCATCTTCTGGCCAAGCCACTGTATCAGGCATGGTCAGGGACGCATGCGTGAATGAGATTGTCCTTGTTCTCTTAAGGCTAAAAACTATTCCATTGTGTATATATACCACCTTTTGTTTATCCATCTGTCTGTCTGCGGGCACTGGGTTACTTCCACCTTTTGGCTCCTGACAACAGTCGTGCTATGAACACATGAATATGAATATCTCTTCAAGCCCAGTTGTGGTGACTCATGCCTATAATCCCAGCACTTTGGGAGGCTAAGGCAGGAGGATCCTTGAGGTCTGGAGTTCAAGACCAGCCTGGGTAACATAGTGAGAACCTGCCTCTAAAAAAAAAATTAAGCTGGGCCTGGTAGCACATGCCTGTAGTCCTAACTACTTTGGAAGCTGAAGAAGGAAGATCCCTTGAGCCCAGGAGTTCAGGGCTGCAGTGGGCTATGACTTGGCATTGTACTCTACCCTATGTGATGAGCGAGCCTTCTCTTTCTCTCTCTCAAAGGAGAAGAAACTGCTTTAACAAAAAAATCACTTCAAGACCCATCCTGCTTTCACTTCTTTTGGGTATGCACTCAGAAATGGTATTGCTGGATCATATGGTAGTTTCAGTTTTAACTTTTTGAGAAACTGCAGTATTTTTCCCATAGTTTTACCACAGTGATAGGTAAAACAAGGTAAATGGACCAAAACACGTGAGAGCTCGTGTAACAAGCAGGCAGAAAAGTTTATTTCGTCCCAGGGTGCAGGTGGGAGATCAAAAGGGATGTGAGCAGTGTTAGGGAGGCCGTTCTTTTTATGGGAGACTGAGGAGCAGCTGGTTTTACTGACAGGTCTTTCTTTTTTTTTTTGAGACAGAGTCTCAAGCTGTCCCCCTGGGTAGAGTGCCGTGGCATCACAGCTCACAGCAACCTCCAACTCCTAGGCTCAAGCGAGTCTCCTGCCTCTGCCTCCCAAGTAGCTGGGACCACAGGCGCCCGCCACAACGCCCGGCTATTTTTTTGGTTGCAGCCGTCATTGTTGTTTGGCGGGTCCGGGCTGGGGATTCGAACCCGCCACCCTAGGTGTACGTGGCTGGCGCCTCAGCCGGTTGAGCTATAGGCGCCCAGCCGACAGGTCTTTCTTATCAGGGCACCAAGGACGTGTAGGGCAGCTCATCTTATCAAGGTGTCAGAAGCTTGTGGTGTAGGATGTTATGGGTTTGTAATGGCCCAGTGCAAGGAGACAAAGAGCCCGGGGCATGTCTCCCTTATCTGACTTACGTCTGCCAGTCACAGAGTCTCACAGGATGGTTTTCAGATCTGAGGTGGAGTTTAGCCCCTGACAATCGGCTTTACCGTTGTCCACACCCACCAGCAGTGTGCATGCGTCCCAGGTTTTCCACATCCTTGCCAATACTTGGCATTTTCTGTTTTTTGAGTCCCCCCAACGCCTCGCCCTTTGGATAAAGTGTATCTCACTCTGGTTTTAATTTGCATTTCTATGATGACTAGTGGTGTTGAGCATCTTCTCGTGCTTATTGTCCGTTTCTGTCTCCTCTTTGGAGAAATGGCTATTTAAGTCTTTTGCCATTTTTAAATTGAGTTGTCTGGGTTTCTTTTCTTTCTTTCTTTTCTTTTTTTTTTTTTTTTTTTGAGTCTGCTTTGTCACTCTCGGTAGAATGCTGTGGCGTCGCAGCTTACAGCAACCTCAAACTTTTGGGCTTAAGCGATTCTTTTTCTCTCAGCCTCCCAAGTAGCTGGGACTACAGGTGCTCACCACAATGCCCGGCTATTTTTTTGTTGCAGTTGTCATTGTTGTTTAGCAGGCCTGGGCCGAGTTCGAACTCATGAGCCCCGGTGTTTGTGGCCGGTGCCCTACCCACTGAGCTGTGGGTGCCGAGCACTGGCTATTTTTTTTTTGTTGCAGTTGTCATTATTGTTTAGTTGGCCTAGGCCAGGTTCGAACCCACCAGCCTGAGTGCATGTGGCTGGCGCCATAACCACTATGCTACAGGTGCTGAGCCTGTGTTTCTTTTTTGTTTGTTGTTTTAAGTATGCTCATGGTATCAGTCCCTTATCAGATATATGATTTGCAAATACTTTGCTTCATTCTGTGGGTTGACTTTTCACTCTGTTGATAGTGCACTTTGATGCAAAGAAGTTTTAAATTTTGATAAAGTCCAACATGGCTGTTTATTCTTTTGATGTCTGTGCTTTTGGTATCATAGCCAATAAATCATTGTCAAAGCCAATGTCGTCAAGCATATTCTCTTCCAAGTTTTAGTTCTGGCTCTGTATGTTTCTGGTGTTGTGTTTGTCTATATATCTGTAAACTACTGAAGCTTATATATGTATCATCTCTTATTTTTTGCCTTATTTTTTCTCTTTTTTGTTGAATTATTAAACAAAGACATTATGACATAATGACACTGCACATACCTCCTAGAAATAACGGCATTTTTCTAAATAACCATCATCACTCCTGCCTTTAGAATTGGGTGGGTAGGGCCCTGCCCTGTGCTGTCTACTGTGGAGTGCCCTTTGTGAATTTTCTAAGTCTCTTCCCTGCCCAAATGTGTAAAAGGTAGGACACCTAAAGCTCTCCTCTTAGGCATCTCATACTCAGAATTATAGTAAGTTTCCTAATGACATTGGAAATTGAAGCTTAACTTTATTTTGCTGACTTCATTGTTTACCACTATATAGGATATTTTTCTTCTACATTATTTTCCTGTTATTTTAATATATTCCTTTGCATGTGTATTTTTAGTGTTACAGTTATTAATTACCTTTCTTCTCTCTCTCTAGCACCGAGTTGAAACTCTTGGAGGAGGCAACCATTTCCGTCTGCAAGTCTTTAGGTAAGGGGGGAAAATTGGTGGGTGTTACGTGCATAAGGACTTTTTTTTTCAAGTTTTCTGTTATAAATTTCAACAGTATAACATGAACTGAATTCCTGAAATGATTCTTCTTCTTTGATGATGATAACAATAGTAAAAATAATTGTTTCTATTCATGGCACTTACGGGTTCTACTAGAAGTTATCATCAGTCACTGTTAATAACATGGCTATCTTTATAGTTGTGGTTTCAGCTTCTTTTAGTGAATTTAAAAAAAAAAGCAAACTGGTAAGTTAGTTTTGTGGTTGCAGGGACAGTTCTTATAGCTAATGCAAGACCATATGTCCTGTGGTTTGCCAACTGCCCTGGCTATATATATAATGTAGTTATTGGCGGTGTTGACTAGAATAGTTATTACTCATTCAATACATTTGAAAATATTTGAGACCTGATAATTAAATTTGCAAATTTGTCCTGGAAAAAGTGCTTTATACCTCATTGCTGACTACCAGTACTCCCCTTGGGAAGCTGTGTACTGATGCCTGTAGCTAGTCCACCCTTCCAAGCCATTTCAGAACACTTTTTTTTAGCTAAGGCAATGTTTGTCAAGTTTCTTCCCTGTGAAGTTGTCCCATGATACACCATTGCCTTCAACTTTGGGATATAGAATTTGTGGTTAACGTTTTTTTTTTTTTCTTTTAGCCCTTTAAAAACATTGCATATGGTCTCCATTTTTTCAGATAAGAAGTATGATGTTAATTGTGTTGGTTTTCCCCTGTAAATGATGAATGATTTTTTTGCTCACTGCTTTCAAGATTTTCTCTTTACCTTTAAAAAATTTTTTTATTGTCTAATTCTGTTGGGGGATTGTTGACATGCACGTTTAGATGTGTAGATTAATGTTTTCTACTAATTTTGGAAATCTGTGGTCATTATTTTTGTTCACCTTTTTATGTTTATGTTTATTACTTTTCTCCTGAATGTACACATGAGTTTTTCTGGACCTGGTGCATATTTCTTACTAAATTCCTCACAGTAAATAAGAAATGCATTGGTCCTAGTGTCTTAGTCCTTATACGCTAGTACCTGCTATGAGGGCCAGGTCCATCACTCTATGTGAGGGATAAGAAAATATTATTTTTTCCCTACTTATTATTTTTTTTTTGTAGAGGCAGAGTTTCACTTTATCACCCATTGTAGAGTGCTGTGGCATCACACAGCTCACAGCAACCTCCAACTCCTGGGCTTAGGCGATTCTCTTGCCTCAGCTTCCTGAGTAGCTGGGATTGCAGGTGCTCACCACAATGCCCAACTATTATTCCCTTGTTGCACCTTGGCCAGGGCCGGGCCTGAACCCGCCACCCTTGGTATATGAGGCCTGCGCCCTACTCACTGAGCCACAGGTGCTGCCCACTTATTTTTTTATTATTATAAAATATGCACTGAGTGTTCAAGTTTCTAATAGTCTCACTTGGTTTGACTTAGGAACCAAGTATAAGTGCACACATTATTATTGGTTAAGATGTCTTTATGGGCTCGGCGCCTATAGCTCAACCGGCTAAGGCGCCAGCCA